CCGGCGCCGCCGCCGGAGTAAGGGAGGATCATGGCGGCCATTTGATGGCCGATGAATAAATTGATTGAAAGCAGTGGTAGCGTCTTTTTATTTTTTTTGGGGGAGCGGTCTTCTTGATGAACTCGCGCTAGAGCGAATTAGGATGAGAGTTATCCGTTCGAGGAGCCTTTGGCACGAGTTAAGCACGTGCGAGGGCATGTTCTGGCGGCCGGGAGTATAAAGGCCCAATAAGAAGAAAAGACTTGCACTGGCCCGTTAGTGGCTGATTTAATCATATCATCATATTATATCATACTTACTTCCTTTAAAAGCATGAGCTCGGAAAAAAATTACAATGATCAATATTGTTCTTCGCTATTCTAAATATTTTATTTATATTTTAATCTATCCTAATCATAATTATATCCTATCCTAATCCTATGTGAACTATTTATAGCTTAACAATTTTAAAAAATAATATTAATAAAATATATAAAACATATTCATGGTATTAGTTTGTTAAGGTAAATAAATTATATATAGCTAACGTATTATAATACATAAAATATTATAAAAAAACCTAAAAGTTTTAAAATTGCACAAAATACTCTCAAAAGTTCAAAATTATAAAAACTATCCCGACGTCTAAAAACTTAACACAGCAAACATGAAGTCAATAAATTAACAGCATTTTGCGAAGGATTTAAAATTTACGGTTAACATATCAATATCTTAAAAATTATAGAAACATCCTTAAAAATTCAAATTACAAACAAGCACATGTAAATCTAAAATTTCAAAACTTAAAAACAACATAGATGAATTCAAGAGATTACCATAATTTACTTGAAAATTTCTAACATTTCAAAACTTAAAACAATAAATATGAAATCAAAAAATTAATAGCTGCCTCCCAAGAATTAAAAATTTTTAATTAACACCCTCAATGTCCCAAAAATTATAGAAACAGTTTCAAAAGTTTAAATTATAAAAAATAACCCCAAAAATTTAAAATTTATAAATAACAAAAAATAAATTAAAGAGATTACCCTCATGCACCTAAAAATTTAAAATTTGCCGAAATTAACCTCAAAGTCACAAAAATATAGAAAAAAACTCTTTCAAAATTTAAAAATAATAAAAAACTCTAAATTTTTAAAATTTATAACCAGCACTCATCAAATCTGAAAACTATTGGTAGACCGCTAAAATTTGAATTGTTTTAAAATTAATTTACAGTTTTAACAATTGCAAAAAGCAGCCTCAAAATTTCAGAGTTGTAAGAAATATCGTGACATTTAAAAATTACCACCGACATATGAAACATAGAAGTTACAACTACCAAACTTAAAAGTAATTTTTTTAAAAATGCTCCTAAAGTTTTAAAAATTACAAATCATACCCTCAAAGTTTAAAACCATAAAAATTTCTGAAATTTTAAAACTTGGCAAAGAAAATTATAGTTGTTAGGTATTCTTTCATTAAGATGTATATATTTAATTTCTAATTTAGGGTTTACTATCCCTTTTCAGCATCTAAAGATATTCTAAATTGATACTGGTAAACAAAATCAATAAGCATTGATTAAAAATATTCGATTAGGGGATAAAAATTTAAAAAATATTATACCTTAAAGATTATCCTTACCATATAAAATAAAATAATTGCATAAAATTTTACTAATAAGTTAGAGCAGCAAAAAACATTCGTAACATTAATTGATAGATGTTTAAATCCACAAAATTGATAAAAGGCTATAATATAATAGCTTAGCATTAAATGATTATAATTTAGAAACATTAATCTCTGATGTTATAATATAATAGCTTAGCATTAAATATTATAATTTAGAATACAATAAATTATGTATGGAGATACTATCAGAATGTTCAGAGATATCCTTCAAAAGAATCAAGTTATTTCCATTGCAAATGGGAAAGTGAAGAAAATAAATCTAAAATTCAGAAAATGTCCATGAATCATTTGAATTGACATTAACATAAGGCACATCTATTAAAGAAGCATCAACTGAGTTCTATTGAAGAATAATTTAATAACTTTTATCTTAATTAAAGAAAATTTTTCTATAGAAAATATAAGAAAAATTAGTAAGCATTGATAAATTTCATACTTTGCTCTTCAGATACTAAAAAAATTAAATATTAATATTATAATCTAAGGCAAATTAGCAATAAAATATATGTATTTAGTTTAGATCTTTGTGAAAATTACAAGGATAGACAAATGTAATATTATTGACATAACAAAAACTCTTATTGGATGCACATCAGAAGAATTCATTGTAGAGAAAAAAAAGAGGTAACTCATAATCTTATTTAAGTAATATATTAGAAACACAAAGAATTTCATATATATGAGATTAATATTTATTCTCATTGAAATAATAAAAAAATCAAAGTCTGTATTTTAAGAAGTTTGTGTTGAATATCAGAAATACAATTAACTTCTTTGTGAAGTTAAAGGACAAGATAAAAGATTAACCACCCCAAGAAAGATAACAGCACAAAAATTATAACTCTAGCCCGATGTCACAATTGAGTAGATGATGAAGACACTACTCTAGAATTGCCCGGGAAAAAGATAATGGTGAGGAATGATTGATTTTAGCTCAATAAAAAATAAAACAGAAAGAATAAAGGATAATATTTTCTGAATATTTTATAGAATAATTTAATTATTTTGAGTGAATTTAGGAATCTTTAGAAAGGAGTTTCACGAGCTTTTTTTAGTATTTTTTATATGCATGTGCAGATGCTTTTATTATATGAAAGTATACTAGAGTTAGTAGTAATCTTTAATTTATAATTTCTTATAAAGTCTATCAATGATTAGGAACAAACTTCATATTCTCTTTTGTATCGTTTTAGTAAACTTTTAACCAATCATTTTGTCTTATTGGTTTTAAATATTCACATTTCTTATAAAATATTATTTAAATATTTTTTAGTTTTGCAACACTATACTTTCTCAAGTAAAGCTTGGTATCATGTCAGTCAAAATAATATGAAAGTTTAAATTAGCTTCAAATTATATTTATTTTTTATCAATTCAAATATAAACATGAAAATTTAAACTGGGTACAGCCTATTTAAACAAACACCAAAGAAAATAAATAATCCTAATATTAAAGTTTAGAGACAAAAGTGAGCATAAACTATTAAAATGGAATTAAGGAACAAATTTTAGTTAGAAAATAATCTAAAAATACTTAATCATGGTATTTAACCATGTGCATTGCACGTGTATAAAACCTAGTACTCCTTATCAGTTTAAGAAAAACTTTCTATGGTCAATTTTACGCTTAATCCTTATGGATATTACATTTTAATTTTAACCTAATATATTAAAATAATTTAAAGTTGAAATCTTTAACCATAATTTGATATTAAAAGAGATCAAATAGAGGAACTAATTTTCTATACTATTAAAAGATGACATACGCCCAACTAATTTTATCTTCATAAGAATTCTCTTTAGATTGAAACTATTCATATCCATTACCAAAAATTCCTATTCATAAAAAAGTAAAAATTTTTGATAATTAATCTTTTGTTAATTCTAAACAATCTCTAACTATCCACAATTACAAAAATCCAAAAATTATTAATATTACATTTTAATTTTATCCTAATATATTGAAATAGTTTAACCAAAAATTACTATTCATTAAAAAAGTAGAAAATTTTGTTAATTCTAAACAAGCTCTGGCTATCCACAATTATAAAAATCTAAAAATTATTGATATTACATTTTAATTTTATTCTAATATATTGAAATAATTTAAAGATAAAATCTTTAACCATAATTTGATATTAAAAGGGATCAAATAGATGAACTAATTTTCTATCCTATTAAAAGATGACATATGTCCAACTAATTCTATCTTCCTAAGAATTATCATTAGATTAAAACTATTCATATCCATTACCAAAAATTCATATTCATAAAAAAATATAAAATTTTGATAATCAATTTTTTATTAATTCTAAATAAGCTCTAACTATCCATAATTATAAAAATCTAAAAAATTTACATTGTCCCTCCTTAATTATTTTAAAAAGTAAATTTTAATGAACCTCTTAGAATTTTAAATTGAGCATTAAATTCCCAAAATATCTGCAATTCTCATTAAATCCTTAGTAAGTTAGATAATTTTAGAAAAACACCCAAAACATTTTGAATTTTTGTACTTAAGTTCGAAAATGACTTTACCCTAAAATTTCACATCGGCTAAAATTAACCCTCAATGATAGTATATACCCCTAAAATTGATATTATTTGCAAGTTAACCATAAATTCACAAACAACCCAAAAAAAGGAAAAAATATAAATAGCTACTAAAAATTCTAAAATTATAAATAATACTAAAAAAATTTACAGAAAAACATATAGGTCCCTTAAAAAATTGAAATTGTATAAAATCTTGAAAATCTTAAAATTGAAAAAACAACTCATAAACTTCTAAAATTATGAATGACACGTAAAAATTCATAAATTACACAGAACTTCTTAAAAATCCAAAAAATGCAAACCAACCACTTTAAAAATTAAAAAAAATTCATAAATTACACAGAACTTCTTAAAAATCCAAAAAATGCAAACCAACCACTTTAAAAATTAAAAATTATGAACAACCCTAAAAATCCAAAAAAAAAATCCAAAAAATGCAAACCAACCACTTTAAAAATTAAAAATTATGAACAACCCTAAAAATCCAAAAAATTAAATAAACATACGAAAAGTATGAAAATTTAAAAAAATCTCATAAAAAGTAAAATATTACAAATAGCATCCTAAAAATTTTAAATTCCCAACAGCCTTTTAAACATCTTAAAAATAATAAATTGACCCTTTAAGTTAGAAAACTTCAAAGAAACCCTGAAAAACTTACAAAAATCTAAAAAAATTATAAAAAACCCTTTGAAAAATCATACATTAGATACAAACCTCTCTAAAATATAAAATCATAATTAACCTCTTAAAAATTCCAATAAGTACAAACAAATCTCTGAAAAGATCTGAAAATTATAAACGATCATTATTTTGGGTTTTTTGCTAAAAAATGTTGGGGATTAAGTGAAAAAACGTAAAACTTATTGGGTTATTTAGGTGTACTTTGATCATTTGACTACACATGAATTAATGATGTTAATTTTGAGGATTTTCATAATTAAGGGGGTTTATCTACAATAGGCTTAAACTTGAGGGGATTTCCTCATATTAAAATAGTTGATGACGTTTTTCTAAAACTAATCCAATATTTTTTAGATATAACATTATAAAATCTCATTAAGTAGTGATTATAAGAAACCCTTTTTAACTTTTAGATACTATCCGAAAAGCCCTTCAACTTTGAGTTTTTATTAATAAATTCCCCCAAGATTATCGTTTTTAGAGTGGTTTCCCGATAAAATCTCAAACTTAAAGGGTTTTTTTGATAACCTCTAAAATTTAGTGGGTTTTATATATTTTTAAAGTTATGCGGGATTATTTGATTATCATCCAAAGTTAATGGGGTCATTTTATTATATTTAGCCTTTAAAATATTTTACTTTATTCGCATAGTTATCTGCACTAAACAAGAAATATATCATTTGCTTAATAAGTAACTATATCAAATAGGAAAATGAAATATTTTACTATATGCAACCAACTTAGTGGAAACGGTTTATTTTTTATTTTTTATGACTAAAAAGGTACTTTGAAAAGTAAAAACTTGGATATTTAATTAGGCTTTTAAAATGTTCAATATGTATGATAAGTAAAAGGAATTATGTATATAAAATTACTCAAACAATGGCTCCTAATTTCAAACTAAATTCTAATTTAATGCATTTCATTTCAAATATTTTACATTTATAATATTATACTTTATAGACACACGTGAAAAGTGGTATAAATTATTTTTAGACATATTTAAGTTCTTCTGATGTTTTGATCATTAGATGTTCGATATATATCATTTTAAAATACTTAGGGTCTTCACCAATTTGTGAGCCCTTGAGATGTTCAATACGTATGTTGTTTAAAAATAATTATACGAGTAAAACTACTCAAATATGTGTTGTTTAAGTTTTTTGATATTTTATTATGAGATATTTAATATATATACCATTTCAAAAGATTTAGGGTCTTCACCACTTGCAGTTATTTTGATAGACTTGAATTAAAATAACTATATCTTATTAGAGTAACACTAGGCAATAGATACTAAGAAATAGAGATGAGTCCTGATAGAAGGTGTAACTGAGGCAATTGAGCTAAAATTTTTTGAAATTGCAAGAGTAATCGAATGAAATGGAGAAGGATCTTCAAATAAATAGGAATCTCATACTCAGTAAACAATTAACATAATTTAAAGACATGAGCAAATCTCCTGCTATGTGAAATAGTCAAAGTTAGCTATAAAGTAATTTTATGTCTTAAAAAATAACAAGTTACTCTACCAAGAAAAACATACATACTAGCATAAAAAACATTAATTAACTATTTCATAGCTTGCTTTGACAATCCAGAACATAAACATATAGAGTATGATAGTATTACCTTGGAAAATTATCTATAGTTAAGATCCATGGTTATTGGTATATATGATATTTTCTTAGGAATCTATTAGCCTCATGGGATATAACATTAAAGTGAAAATTAATTAATAAAATTATATAGGGTATAAATACTGTGAATTCGTGCATATTATAAGATGAAAACATAGGATTGGGATGAGAATAAAATTATTCGCATATTTTTTTATAAAAGGATCTTGACATTCGTCTACTATTATTGTAAATTGTACTTAACGTGAATTGACCGTGTAATTTTGACTTTGGTTATGGTAATTTTAATACTTTTGATTAACTATATAGTAAATAGACAATAAATTATTTTATGTTTTCACGTGAAGTCAAAAGAAATATTTCACAACCAAGTTAAGTAAGAAAATAGAACAAAAAAGATAATGATATTTAATCACATGTAATGCACGTGCATCCAAGCTAGTGAAAATAAAAAAAGAGGAATGATTTTAAAAAAAAATTGCGATTAATGTATAACAAGGACATAAACTTTATATTATTGTCAAGCAAGTATGATGGACCTTCAAATAGCACTATCAAACTATCACATAGATTCTGATTGCAAGTAATTTTTATTCAAGGGTTGATTCCTAAAAACACCCTGAACTTTAGGGGGTGTTGCACATATCACCCTAAATGTGTTGCACATATCACCCTAAATTTTGTTTATCTCATTTAACCGTTCTGAACCGTGGGGTGTCTCACAAAAACCCCTTGCACTTCAGTTTATCACATCTAACCCCTTTGCCTGTAAATTGTAAATAACCAAAGCTTTCTTGATAGAGAAAAGCTCACTTTATGAGGAGTGTGTTGCCGGAGTATGTTGCCTTTAAATGACTAGTGATGAAGTCTAGGAGTTTTTTACTCGAAACATACTTTAGCTACTTGTAAATTACAGACATGGGGTGGGGATTGTGAGACACGTCTAGTTTAGGGAGGTTAAGTGAGACAAACAAACTTCAGGAGGTTATGTGCAATAGCCCCAAAACTTCATGTTTTGTGTAATTAACACTTTTCTATACTAGCTTAAAAGTTTATGGTAGCATCGTGCAAGACTCCCTGATCGATGATAATTTTTTAAAATATTCCAAATCATAGGTGAAATTGTTGATAACTTAGTATCTAAGCGGGGAAATCGTCCGGGAAAAAAGGGGCACTTCATAAGCTAAAGATATTTAATTTTAGACCAGAATGTGAATGCTCCGGCTGTCTTCTTGTCGCTGTAAGATATATTGTTGCTTCTGTAGTCTACACCCTTGACCTGTGATTTTCTAAATTAAAGTCATGATACCCTGCATTTTTCATTGGTCAAAGGGAAAAGTCCAAAATGGGAAGCAAAACCCAGCAAGACAAAGACTTGGTCAGCTGATTACCTGCTCTCGTCTTCATTGGCATTTGGCATATTGATCCATTGGAAGACATTATTTGCATCTCATCTTATTAATTAAAACAAATTCATTTCAAAAGAAATTATATAACAAATCTTTTTCCATATATACCATACATACACGTTAGTTATTTTTCATCTCTCCAGTTTCCAAACACGGTTTAATAGGACAAATGGTGAGACAAATAAATGAAAGATGACAGTAATAATGTCAGCCCCGCAAAAAACCAGAACGTGAAATCAGATCAGATCAGAATTTAGAAATAGTAGTGTGTGATAACTAAACATCGATTGTAGGGGGAAAATTTTTATATAATGAATCGTATCCACTAAATAGCTGGTGTTTTAGCAATCGTGTATAATTACGTCAACATAACACATGGGAGGATTTAAAAAATGCTAGCTCTTCTTGACCCGCCAACTGACTTGACCGAGTAAAAGATCAAGAAATGTTCAGAAGTTGATTCTGCTCGCCGTATAAAGAGTAGATCACCGTGTTGCGTACCCCCCTTCATCGTCTTCATCGTCATCGTCATCCAATCATGAACACGGCCGTGGCGATCGTAGTTCTGCTAACAGCTGCAGCCTCATTGACCACTACCGGATCAGCACAGCAAGTGGAAACCTGCGCATCAAAACTGGTGCCGTGCGGGCCGTACATAAACTCGACGAGCCCACCGGAGAGCTGCTGCGGCCCGCTAAAGGACGCGCTGACGAATGACCTGAGGTGCCTCTGCTCGATCTTTAACAGCCCCAAAATTCTCAAGGCTTTCAATATTGATCTCAACTCGGCGCTGCAGTTGCCTAAGCGTTGTGGGATGCCTTCTTTCTCTAACAACATCGCCTGCGTCAACTCTACAGGTATTTTATTCGAGTTATCGTGATTATGATTATGGGATCAGTTCTTAATTTTGATCAATAATTTCTGATTCTTTTGTTTTTAATTTGTTTTTGAATTTTGTCGTTGATTGCAGCTGGAGCTCCTGGACATTCGATGGTTCCTCCAGGTACAGACACATACTTTTCGATTCAGATTCATGTTCTTGGCTCACGGAACTCTACAGGTATTTTATTCGAGTTATCGTGATTATGATTATGGGATCAGTTCTTAATTTTGATCAATAATTTCTGATTCTTTTGTTTTTAATTTGTTTTTGAATTTTGTCGTTGATTGCAGCTGGAGCTCCTGGACATTCGATGGTTCCTCCAGGTACAGACACATACTTAACACCTCACATGTCCCATGTAGGGTCCCATGTTTTTGGGTCCTTGTAGCACCACCCGTTGCAGAAATATTAAGCCTATCTTAATTCATTCGTCCTTTTGTCGTATATTGGCAAGTCATCTACCATTTTGTAGCTAATTTAACGCAGCGAGGAAGGAGTGCTCTTTGAATCCACAAAGAACAATCTTCGAATCCACAAAGAACTTTGAATCTATGAAGAAAATATAATAACAGAAATTTATTGATAAGAGTGGTCTAGTTAATCTTTCTAGGGTTACATACATCTTATTAAGGGCTTGTTCGGTTGTTTTCCGAAAAAAACAAGAAATGGAAATGTCACATTTTATTTGATATCATGACATTTCAAGAGTTTTCCCACATTTCATTTTTTGTGTTCGTTTCGCAAAGAAATCACCCCTTGAAACCGCCAAGTCACATAAAGAGACAAAAAAAGCCGCAATAGTAACAGTGCATGTGTTTTCTATTTCTTGTGTTCGTTTGAACAAAAAAAAGGAAAGGGAAATGGAAACATTTAAATAATCTGTTTAATTCTCATTCATTGTTCCAACAGTGCTTTTAAATATTAAAAATTCATTGAATTGACATTTCCAAGTGTTTTCAGAGGTTTTTGTTGTGAAAACACATTTCTTAAAAATGTGATGTGGCATCCTACGTGGCGTTTCATTTCTCTAAATTTCAAAACGAACCGAACTGAAGAAATGGAAAACCCTTGAAACCAAAAACCTATGTGGCACATGGGGGATTTCTTGAAATGTGAGGTGGCGGGTGTTTTCTCATTTGTTTTGAGCAAACAAACAGACCCTTAATATTAGATTGAAACCAAGTTCTGCATCTCTCTCTCTCTCTTCCGACCTGCTTAGGGGGTGTTTGTTTCAAAAATATTTTGGCATTTGGGTGGGATTTTAAATTCTAAGATCAAGAAGTGGGTTTTTTTGGGTTTTAGAATTCCATAAAACTTGTTTGTTTCAAAACAAATTTTAGAATATCAAATCCCCAAACACTAAAAAAGTATTATATTCAAGGAATTGTGAAATCCTTTTTTTTGGGTGGGATATGTGGTGGATTTCAAAAGTATTAGACAAATTAAGGATTTCAGATTCCAAAAAAGTTTAAAACAAACAAAAATATTACAAATTATAGTATTTTAAATCCCAAAATATTGTTGAAACAAATAAAATTTTAAGAATCCCAATCCATAACAAATTACGTATGGATTTTAAATCCTATAGTGAAATTCTTATCATAAAAAAATTATAGGATTTGAAACAAACACCCCCTAAAGTTGAAGTTGAAGAGCCACAACACCCTATTAACTGGGCCACCACAGGGTTTGAAACAAATAACAATTACTATCATTAATGCCTTGCATCTGAAAATGACGTCAGACGTGGGATGAACTATAATAACTATAACAACTGAAAGATGACAGTAATAATGTCAGCCCCGCAAAAAACCAGAACGTGAAATCAGATCAGATCAGAATTTAGAAATAGTAGTGTGTGATAACTAAACATCGATTGTAGGGGGAAAATTTTTATATAATGAATCGTATCCACTAAATAGCTGGTGTTTTAGCAATCGTGTATAATTACGTCAACATAACACATGGGAGGATTTAAAAAATGCTAGCTCTTCTTGACCCGCCAACTGACTTGACCGAGTAAAAGATCAAGAAATGTTCAGAAGTTGATTCTGCTCGCCGTATAAAGAGTAGATCACCGTGTTGCGTACCCCCCTTCATCGTCTTCATCGTCATCGTCATCCAATCATGAACACGGCCGTGGCGATCGTAGTTCTGCTAACAGCTGCAGCCTCATTGACCACTACCGGATCAGCACAGCAAGTGGAAACCTGCGCATCAAAACTGGTGCCGTGCGGGCCGTACATAAACTCGACGAGCCCACCGGAGAGCTGCTGCGGCCCGCTAAAGGACGCGCTGACGAATGACCTGAGGTGCCTCTGCTCGATCTTTAACAGCCCCAAAATTCTCAAGGCTTTCAATATTGATCTCAACTCGGCGCTGCAGTTGCCTAAGCGTTGTGGGATGCCTTCTTTCTCTAACAACATCGCCTGCGTCAACTCTACAGGTATTTTATTCGAGTTATCGTGATTATGATTATGGGATCAGTTCTTAATTTTGATCAATAATTTCTGATTCTTTTGTTTTTAATTTGTTTTTGAATTTTGTCGTTGATTGCAGCTGGAGCTCCTGGACATTCGATGGTTCCTCCAGGTACAGACACATACTTTTCGATTCAGATTCATGTTCTTGGCTCACGGGCC